AATTTCCGATCGATTACCAATCTCTCAATAATTAACGAGCTTTCGAGCTCGATTTTCGCAAAAATAAAACTTCCGGCGCAATTTCATCGTCTTATTTTGGAACGTCCCCGCTTGCACGGCGACTTTAAATCTGTCAACGACAACGAAGAAAAGAACGAAAAGGAAATGCAATAATATAACGAGCGCCACGATCGAATTGTCTTTTTACAAACGAAATGAATAAATACGTACTTATCTATCTCTATAAACTGATGGCTCGTGGCGCCGCGACGTGATCGATTGCGTCGTAAAATTCTTATGATCGCGTCACGACAGCCCGGTTATTTATTCACTCGGTTATATTTCATCAGCGGTAATATTATTTATCGAATTTCTATCACGCGGATGTAGGTAATTAAATCGCGCGTTTCATTAACGACAGAATTAATGGATGAGGATTGAAATTACCGAAAAGGGGAAGGGTAATCCGGGAAGCGAATTACGGAAATATTTGCCATAATTTGCGACACAGACTGTTGCCCTGAGTTTCGTCCTTTTTCTTTCGCGTGGCACGCGTTACGTTTTTCAACTGCCTCGATTTACGTACGTAAATATTTGAACATCGTGAAAATCGATCGAATCGAATGATTAATACCTTCGCTGCATCTTCGAGTTGTCATTAATTCGCGATTTCCTGCCATCACTGAATCCCCCCCCCCCCCAATTAATTTCTATTCCGTGTATGGCGACCTGTATAAACCTGCGTGAACTTTGAACTTTTAAAACCACGTATCTCGACAAATTTCCCCGGAATCAAGTTTTATCCGCTTCCAATTACCTTTTGCTCTTTTATTTATTCCGGTAGTAATAATTTTGTCAATATCTATCGACTGTGCATTCACGTTGCCTGAATATTGAAAAATAATTTGGAAGTGTCCAAATACCTATGCACAGGGTGTACACGTTCCGGTGAGCGCTCCCGACTTCCTGTTGGACATTACGCGCTTCGTTGATGCGTTATTCTGTGATACTGTCTTAGTTTGTCCGGCTGTGCATACGTGTTGTTGGTTCTCAATGGGTCAAAGAAAGAAAAACGAGAACGAAAAGTAGAAAGATGTCAGATCGAGAGGACAGGGAAACCGGAATGGAAGGATCTTCCCGTGATCGTGATCGATGTCTACGGGGGATTCTTTCGGCCCGCAACGTGTCCACTACCTTCGCAACGGGCGAATAACGAAAAACGAAACGTCAGATTTTCTCGCGTAATACGAACAACAGAGTGGAGTTGACTCTCAATCCGTGTGTTTCATTGATCGCTTTGGACGGCTTTGAAATCGTACGCGGCTCGTATAAGATCGATTCTGCGTCGTTTTCCTCTCCGTCTATGTGATACTTCCGTCGAAACTTTTCAGAGTAGTGCCTACTCGGATTTCGATACAATTCCATCATCGTACACCTAACTTCTCTTCCTTTACGCGCGACCGTCGGATTTATTCTGTTTATGGAGTTTTATAATTTTATCGAAAAGTTTAACATCGACACCTTCGACTACGTTTCTAGCAGTTTATGCCTCTCGATTATAGCAATTCCGCACAATTTGTTTAATTAAGTTTCGCAAGAGATGTTTGATTTTTATCGTACAATCGGTATTTCAGAACCCGTAACAGACAGCAACGAGGGAGATACAGAATAGACCCGACATCTTACGGGACTTTCTGTCGTACGTTTCCAAGTATCGATCGTTTAAAAAGTAAACCAAGGTTTCAATAATTCAACAGATATACCTATCAGATATATAGACACGAAGATTAGTAAAGTTGATAGATTGTTGATAAAAGAGAAAAAAAAAGCTTGCAAAAGATGTGCAATATATTTCTTGTTCCAATGATTTTGAGAATCGAATACATGTTGTTCAAGTAGCTAAATATGACCGTGTAACAGATTATAATTCGTTTTTGTAGCTTTTATACATTTAGTTAATCAAAATTATCTCATAAAGAGATATTTCAATTCGATCAATTTTAATCGTGTAGGAAATCAAGTTTTAATGTATAATTACATTCTCAGATACTCCAGTCTCAATTTGCTCGTATAATACTGCCAAACCTGCAAATTGATCAAACGTAATTTTTATTTTACTCGTTGCTAAAAATTATTTTATTTTTATTTGATTAAATCGTTACCTCTCATAACAATGAATGCACGTAATAACAATACCTAATTAACGTACCTAATGATTACTTAATGATATGCACCTACAGTGTTATATAATCATATGAAATCAAAATATCGTTTCTGAATTGTAAAACGTTTCTCTGTACTAAAAATTATGTTATTTTGTTACAAGATATTTCTTTGTTAATTATTTTATACCGCCGATTTCACTAAAATGTTGTTGATTTTTAAATGTTTTTCTGTGCCAATTATATTGCCTGCAGCAACGTTATTTAAAGTTATTTTATCAATGTTACAAACAAGATGCTCATGCTATCCAATTTATAAACATGAATAAATATGTTAGAGTCAGTAGGAGTGAATGTTCGTTTTTTTATTTAGTAAATTAAAATTTCAAAGTTATTAATAAAATATTGAAGAACCTGTCATAAAATAAATTTTATAAAAGTTCGTGGACAGCCTTCCACGAATCCAGTGGAAGAATTTGGGCATTTTTTAACGCAACACTATTTCAAGAGACACGATCATTCGTTACCGCAACACTAATTGGAACAATATCGCAACACTAGGAGTTCAAGTAATTGGAAATCGCGATGAAATAATGTCGCTACACTAACTCGAAATCTAAATTCAATGATAATTATTACGAAAACAATACAAAACTGTACGAATGAAATTTCAAAAACATTCGAAAATTAATTAAAAGCAACGACTCTATAATTTAATTTAAAACAATAGAATGCAAGATAAATTTTACCCATGTATAAAAATACGGCAACTATAAAAATTCAAATCAAAATTGCGAAAGACAATCGCGGTATCGTAACTCGCAACTCTAACGCAAGGCAGACCATTATCATTTCTTCGTGACTCTAATTTAAACCGCAATCAATTTTTCGCAACGCTAATACGATGACGAGCGATGACGGGAAGAGAAAAAAAAATACAACTACAAATACTAAAAGAGCATAGTGACAAAGTAGTAACGAGAATAACCTCCCATGCTTTGGAATCATTTAAATGATCCAGAGGATGAGAAGGTCATCTGTTGTGACCCTCTTCGTGGCAGTTTGCCGGGCCTCTTCTTTTCTTCGAGCGCAATGCCCGCTGAAACTTACGTCTAGCTCGAGTCTTTCTAATCGCAAATACTAAGAAATAACTTATAAAGGTGAGATAATAATATAAATCGCGAAAGCTGACCTCGATGCACGTGGACGATCATCGATCGTAGTGATCGTTGTCCGTTCGCACGTGCATGCTCGAGCAATACCTGCATAAACGTTCGTTTCGGGACCTATTCGCGATTTATCCGCGACCGCGACCGCGATACTAAATTCGAAAAATCGAGGAGTAAAACCAGAAACAAGTGGCATGCTCAATTTGTACCAATTTCACTGTCGAGTTTTCAAATTAGATTTCCTGAAACAGGTTGGACACGCGAAAGGGGGACACGCGACCAGAGACTGTGCCAACCTGCCCGGCCCTACCTACTTACAATTNCTCCGACACCCGAGCTTAACACACAACTTTCACACTCTAATTTACGTACCATTTTCCTGAAATCGACTGACAATGGCTAGCAATCATTGCGTAAAACGTGATTAAAACACGTTTACAGCTATATGTGAGATTAATTAATAACCGAGATAGAATACATATAATTTTTATAGAAATTACATGTCCAAGTTGACATGGAATCATTATTACAATTGATTGTAGAATTGTTAATATGATTACAGTTGTATTTAATAGGTATTATTATAATAAATTCATACATCAAATATTTGTAATGAATGGAACAATAAAAACGACGCAATTCCACATCCTAACTCCACACACACTCATGAGGAAAATACGTCGTGCACGATATGCTAACACACTGTCAGTCGCTGAGAAATTTTTTATAAAATTACAAACTATGGTCATCGTGCCCAATGTCTTTCACCCACCCAAGTAGCACCTGGGCACGTGAGTGAGATCCTGACAATGGACACGGAAGGGGTTAAACCTGAAAATCCTGAACTGAAAAAATGATTAATTTATATAATTTGTATCTAACGGACTATTGTATTATTTTATTTCAAACTGTAATGACTCTACTCTTTCAGAAATTATTCAAATTGCAAGAGAATAAAGACAATGAATAATTTGTTAAAAAAAAAAAATACCATGAACAATCTAACAATTGACTCTAAATTAAATATTGATAGAAATAATCTCAGACGACTTCTTCATCAAAGCACATTCTCGAAAATACGAAAGCAGTGTCCAAACTTGTTGCTTCGATTCAAAAATCTGTCTGTCGCGAAGTATCTTCTTGCACATGAAATTTCATACGTTTTTTTTTTTTTTTTTTTTGCGGAAAAAATTCTAATCTATTATATTTTAAATTCTACTAAAGTTCACGGTTATAAAACTTAATTAATTAAATCAATTAATTTAATAGCATTATAAAAGAGTAGATGAAATTGAAAATTATTAATCATTAATTATTATAACAAAATATATCAAAATATATCAGCAGTATCAATAACTGCATCTTTCAGAGCTACGAAGTCGGAGGATATCCGTCTTCTCTACTATGAAATGCTCAAACGAAGTTGTTTTAATAATAATTATTTATAAATATTTATAATTTATCTATTCATATGGATATTTTACTTTTGGAAATATTTATACTGAAGATATTTTGATTTTATAAGCAATTACAATAAATGTATATATCCTAATTGTTAAAATCGCGATGTGCAAGAAGCCCTATCCTGATCTAATACATGAAAAAACCTGAAAAAAATGTTACTACTCACGGGTATAAAATATACCCGCGGTCACTATGCTCATCAAAAACTCTATGTATACAACCAGTCACCCGTGCCGATTCGGACCTTTCGTCCTACGACATGATTGAGTGACCGGAGGAACATAAATGCATGCGACTCACGCGACAGATGTGAAGAACGTTGTCATCGATGCTGCACTGGAGCAGGGAAAGTTATCGTGAAGACTCTCATCAAGTAAATACCACTGAGAATTCCATAGAGAACGCCGTGAAAAATTTCTTGAAAAAACATAAAATATTTTGTTTTTAAAAATACAATGTTATTTGTGAAAATTTAAATTTTAATAATGACAAAAATTGGGACTAATAATTTTAAGTGCTTTTATTTTATAATTATAATTTTACATTTCAGTAGAAAGAAAACTATGAAGAATAAAATTTAAATACAACGTGCCAAAGTACTTACATTTTTAGCTTTTGAAGTATCATATGATTCTTGGAAGATTAGGAGAAGGGGAGACTGAGTAGAAGATCTGCAACAAAACATCAAACATTATACTCCGTTGTCAAATTTGAAAAATTGAATAAATTAAAGTACAATATATAACTTACGATCTTGATCTCCTTAGAGACCTTATCCTCTTGAGCACTGATTCTACATATATACCGAAAACGAACACTGAACAAGAAAAAATACAAAAGAAGAAAAATAAAAGACTATCGACGCGCATGTTTAAGTAATAATCGACGAACTCACTGACTCCAATTTCACGAATTATAATTTGAATGAATTGAATATATAATCTAATGAGAGCCATTTTGCTGAAAAAAATATAAAAACATTTCGCAACAAACACTGACTCTACCAACCGCATTGCGCGCGGTCACTAAAATTTTCTGAAAATAAAGTTGGATTAGTTAGAGGAGGGCGAAGGATAAGTTCATTTAGAAAATACTGCTATTTTTCTAAACCATGATTGTGAACATAATGAAGAAACTGTATTAAAGATATTGGTTGTAAATTAATAAAGTATATCTCAATACTGAATACTGTAAATGAAAGATGAGTGTTGTATTCTAAATGTTCATTATTAGAGTAGGAAGTATGCACATTAGTAATATATCACGTCAAGTGTTATAAATATTCAAAAATGTTTCACAAGTCAAATGTACTTAAAAAATAGTATTATGAAAAACGCGTGAGAAATTTTGCTTTGAATCATTTAATTACGCATCAATCGTTTGTGTATACCTAAAATAAATGAAATGTTACCAAATTTCCATCAAACAATATCAGAGTGTCCATTAAATTGTGTCGTCTATGTGTTCTATCTTATCTCTGGAATCAAGGAATAACCTGCACAAAAAGAAACCAAAAGTTAGAACAAATATGTCAAATGAAGGCAAACATGTAAAAATGAAACGATAATCACCTCAAATTCTACTAAAGAAATGTACGAGATAAGCTACCGGTAATCGTACGAATGAAATTGACGATTGAAGAAAAATCGATGCGAAAAGTTTCAAAGTATTACACGATTTCATTACCGTAATGCTCAATTAATCGTTAAACATACGCGTATTAATTAAATGCTACTATTAATGAGGTATAAATAGAAGTAAAAGAGTGTTGAAGAGACGCCACCGTTAAATGTTAGTAAAAGTTACGAATCTGATGCAATGTAATACATGTTGTTGTCACGAAATTCGACGACCGAATGACTCTTCGCGACACGTCTCGTCCTGCAGTTGAGAAAATAATAGGGGATGGGACGATCCGGAACGAACAGGTTCGACAACAACAAGAATCTTACGCAAAAACGTAAGCATTATGTTTATGTTTTGAACTTGGAGTTCCGAGCATGGTATAACTTTCAACACGGTATCTGTTTAAATGTTTATATGCTGTTATATGCAACAATTATTTGGTTATATGCTATTATATGCAACAATTATTTGGTTAAATCTTACCTCGAGTTCGAGCTAAAAATGCACGTTTTATCTTAAAAATTCACAACACAAATACAAATCTAACAACTATTGATTTATATTACTACCTGAGAACTTTTAAATGATACTTCTTTCTGTATGATTCTTCTAGATAAAACTTTTTTGTTCACAGATGAGACGTGCTCCATTTCGCCATGTTTCCCGTTTAAAAATCGATCGTGAGAAATATCGATCATGATTCGAGAATCGTAGGAAGTATATTCCATATTTCACCGTTGTGGCGCTGTAATCGTGCGTTTCGCACGAAATGATAACTGGAATAAAAAATGAAATATTCTAGTCTAAATCAAATACATAAAATTCATGAGAAATTCTTAAAATAGAAAATATTTACACATCTGATGAAAAATTGTCAATACCTTAAACTGAGACATGAGAAATTTTATTATATTACGCAGCAGGATTACTATTTTAGCTATTAAATACGTACATCCTCAATAAATCACTGTTGAATTTAGTATTGGAATTGTTAAGAGTCACGGAGTATGAGGTTAAAGAATCGACAAATAAGTAGAAAATGTTACAATAGAATTAAGAAGATATTATATGTATATAATAAAAAAAATAGTCACTTTACAAGGTTTGTAATGGTTAAAATTAAATTTTGGTATAAAATTATAAATAACTTTTAATATAGTATGTTCTGTTTATATGCTATTATTTCTTTAATTGTTGAAAATTATATGTAACAATTATTTGGTTAAATCTTACCTTGAGTTGAAGCCAAACATGCATAGTATTTTATTTTAAAAATTCACAATACAAACACAAATCAAACAATTATTCATTTATAGTTTTACTATTATATAAACTTTTGGATATTTCTTTCTGGATACTTTCTTCTTTGCAAACAAGGTATGCTTCCTTCCGCCATTCTTCACGCTTAAAAATCGATCGTGAGAAATATCGATTTCGTTCAAGAATCGTAGGAAGTGTATTGCATATTTCACCGTTGGCACTAAATCTTTACCTAATTTCCGCGCGCATTTCGCAATGTTAACTGAATAAAAAATAACAAATAAAAAATAAAAAATTTTGGTCTAAATCAAATACACAAAATTCATGAAAAATTCTTAAAATAGAACGAAAATCGCGCAAAATTTATTATACTTTTCAATTTCAATATACTGTTCGATTACATAATGTACAGTAATGTACTATTATGTATCATTACCACGAATAAAAGTAAAATGAAAAAAAAATTATACATTTATAATTTATTATTCGATATAATATATAATAATATTAACATTAATATTAGTACTGACTTACCTATGCATGAGGAATGTAACGTATATAATTTCATATTTCAAATTATAATTTAATACGAGATTATTTTTATTTTAAAAAACATTCTTAAATACGGTTTGCAACATTTATTACTTATAATTATATTTATCACATATATGTTGTATGCTCTTGTGAATTTTTTCCCTTTTACATTTTGATATTGTAACAAAGTAATGAATAAGTTTTAAACTTAATATATAACTATATATTATTTTCGTTACCTCATTTAAATCAGCATCTTATTATTTTCGTATATAAGGAATTAAATCCTATCATCAGGTATCAATTATGTTTAATGAACAATTCGACTTAAAAAAGGATGATTTTTCATGTTTTCATATAAATTTTACATAACAAGTATCTGACCATCAATGAAGACTTTATATATTATTATTCTGCTTGTTGGTTTCCATACGTTTATTATTTACAATATTTTTGTCAATTTTGGTATTTATAATATTCTGTTTCCCAGAAAATATCCTTGAGTAATTTTCTTACAGTAACAATGTAAATTACAGACTGTTATTATACAGAATAAAAATGTGTGGCTCTATATATGATATTATTGATAAAGATATAATTCTCATAACATTAAGTTTTTTAGTTTATCACATGAATGAGAAAATAACAATCATTTAAAAATAGTATTTGTACTTATATCTCCTGCGGAAATATTTTGAAATCACTCTTGTAGTAACAGTCAAATAACGATAAAGTAATCTGTAAAATTCCAATCTGGTTGTGTTAAAGTATAATAGAAATATATTGACTAACTATATAGGATATGGAAATAAATTACTTTATCAATATACAGAATTTCCATGTAAATCAATAATTTTTTAAGCCTAAAAATATTTTATCTTTCATTTATAGTTTTATCATTCTTAAAGTATTTGTAAATTACAAGTAATGTTACATTTACTTTATAAATATAAATGCATTACAATGAAAATATTATAAACAGTGAGGAAGAGTTTTAACTAAAAAAGCAAATCAATATCATGATTACTGATCTATTGAAAGAACTGAATAATTTCTATGAAATCACGAAAAATCACTGCAATATTCAAACATATACAATATACATGTATTCATGTACATATATGATGAACATTATAAACTTTCTCTCCAAATAACTTTCTTCCAAAATTAGTAGTTTCATATATATTAGTTACCATATACATGACTTTATGCTTAAAAAACTAATCAGTTTAGATATAAAAAAAAGATATTATTTTAACCAATACTTGAACGTAATTTATGCTGTATATCGATTCAAGTATAGTAATTATTTACTAACTATGAATATTTCAAATTATGTTTGAATTTTTATAAAAAGGACACATACCTCAAACAGGGACATATCATTTTTAAACTCATTAGAATCGTAATCATTTACATTATTAATATTATAAATTCTAGAGAAATCAGAAATTATAAGTTATGATTTTAATATAGCGAAAGTAAAATGCTCATATTATACTAATGTATACAAATTTTCCCTAACATATGTGTATATATATTATTAAATATATACATACACATATGTATATATGTTATTACAAAAGCATTTCTGAAGCATCCTAGAAAATTATAATTAACAAAAAAAATTAAATTTTGCATACTTCATTCTTCACGGTTTATTTATATTGCAAAAGTGAAATTGTGCAATTAAAAATTCGACCACAATATTATTATTATTATTTTTAGTACCTTAATTATACTGCACTGTAATAGCAACTTCATCTGTACGTAGTTTTATAATTGATTTTATGTATACATTGTATATCCTAAATTTAATGAATTTTAATCAATACATTCTTTAGTTCGCTTACGATGATAATTCCTTGCTAATGCATGAATAATTGTTACTAAAAAGTAACATACCATTAACATTACAAATTTATCAAACAACCATGAAATTGTTGTTGTCCCATCCTGGAAGTAAAATAAAAATGTATAATTTACATATTTTACATTATACATTATATATTGTATAATTTACATTTTACATTAAATATATAATTTACATATTTTACACGTAATAAATTAAAAAAACCATACCATCGATGTTTTGTTATGCAATTTTTCTTTCTGTTCAATAAGATACTTTTTCAATGGTCCTTGAAATTTCGAACCAACAAATGGTACAATTGCTAACAATTTTATGAATTTATCTAAGAGTTCTTCATTAAAAGCTATAATTACTGCAAGTTGTTGAATGTGCATTTTTATAATCGCCTTCCCTATAAGTGTAGCTCCAAAAAATGTCCAAAACGGAATTAAATAGTGACCACATGTCAAACCAGCAAGATCAAATAATGGATTAGGGATCTGAAAGATTTTAGAGATAAAAATATATTGTAAAATTATTTTAATGTAAAATTTTTTCTAAAAATATATAAAAATACAAATAATATTGATGTATGTAGAAAATAATTTACTTACCGAAGCGCAAGCAAGAATTCCCCAAAATCCAGCTTTTTGTACAAAATGTTTCATAATTAATTTCACACGAATTAATAATGATATATTTTCTCCATTTTCTAAAGCTTCTAAAGCTTCTAATTCTTTTAAATCTTCTTGGTCAAATTCTTCATTTCTACTATTTTGTCTGCTAGTTCTAGCAGCTCTAGCCATAAAATATGGCGGTAATTCACCAAGTGCAGTACCAGCACCCCAAAGCATAGCTTCTATGCGTACTTTTCTCATGATATTTAATATTCCTGCAGTCCACAATGGATCAATTGTAACTGGACATATTATTTGATCAGGATATGGTGGTTCAGGAAAATTAAGAGCACCGCATTCATATGCAGCCATAGTGACAGCTGCTATATGTGGTCCTAGATAAAGTACAAAAGTGTGTAAGCCTGTACCAAGCCCAACACTAGAAAGGACACCTAAACCTATCCAATATAACCACCAAATTATTTTTGTTTCCCATGCTTTTAATATCTGAAAATGCACAAACATCTGATGACTTTAAAGACAAATTTCACAATTTAAAATAAGGATACTAATAAGCAAAATTTAATTTAAATATAGAATAAATACAAATATTTTTATAATTCCTTTATCATTATTTTACCTGTTGATGAGGACCAGAAATTCTGCTCAATATCAGAAATAATACAATTATTGATACTATACTCCATACTGTCTTTTTGTAATGTAATGCCTTTTCTCCTAAGCTAAATATATTATTAAAAAGTTCTCGGAAAAAATAATTCAATGTGGTAACTGGATGCTGCCACAATGTTAAATGTTCTGAATCTATATCCAAATTATCCAAGTTTTCTGAAAATGGTACAGATGACTTTTTCTCTTCTACATTTTGTTGAGCACCATTAACAGGAGTTGCATCCTTCACGCGTCGAATGGCAGTGCTATTTTCCAACATGATACTTCCTAATTGATTATCCTGCAAAAAAATAAAATAAATCTAATTATTTAATAAATACACCACAATATATATTTTAACATGTAACATGTAACACATAAAATAAGCAAAATTATATAATCACATACAAGATTACAACTTTTATTAATTGATTCTTAAAAATGTAATGTTAAATTATTGAGATTGTGTTTATGTTATAGAAAATAATAGTTTTAAAAATCTTAAATTAACAAGATTAAATTAGTTTTTAATTATGTATAATGTTTTTTTAATATCTAAATCTATATTTTATTAATAAAGATATTATATATAATAACAAAACTGATTTTGAACATTATTTTCATGCTGTATTTTCATTTCTCATTACGAACAGATTAGTATTAAGAAGTTTATTTGTTTCTTTTATTATGATTTTTATTGTTAAATAATTTTCTAAAATATTTACATTTCATGTTAATGTAACTAGTATTAGATTAATAAATTTATAAATCAGTAAGATTTGTGTAATAATAAATAGCATACAATATTTGTAGAATGATGAACATTCTATACCATATTTTCACTGTTCCCTGAAATGTGTAGATGGTGTTTTACTAAGCCTTTAATTAATTTGTGACAATTCATAAAATTGGCATCTCTGTAGCAGAATTCACTGAGCATCTGCTAGTCATATGAAAAACAGTGTCTTCAAAATTCTGTACCATACTGGTAACAGCCACAATGGAAATAATTCTCATCTTTCAATCTAGTTTCCATCATGTCGTCATCAAGCTGCATTAATTGTACCATTCACTAATTATTAATTGTATTAATCATAAAATAAAATATTTTAATAATTAATTTTTATTAATATAGATAACTACTAACAAACATTAATTTTCAAATAATACAAATAAAAAAGTGATAAATCATACAATTTGTTGAATAAAAATATAAATGACTTTTATAGTTTGTATCATGTTACATAACAAATGGCTTTGAAAGAAAATTTTAAATTATTTTATATTTTTCTTTCTCACTTTTAGAATTTTAAGACACAGCCAAAGTAACAATTTATATTGTACATATGAAAAATAAATACAAGTACAAATACAACACATTTCATGCACATTGGTTTATATGTACATACAAAATATATAAAATTATCTTTAATACTTTTATAATAATGAATTGTATAAGAATACAGATTTTAGTGAACAATTTAAATATGACTTCTAATTTGTAATATATTTAATTTGTATCATCTAATACATATACGAATAGTCACTAGAATTTATAATTAATTTTTTCAAATGTGCGTCAAGGATCATATATGTAATACACAAAATAGCACATATAAATAATGTCAACATTATACCCTAAAATTTATATGCACATATTTATCATGTTATGAATATTATAACCATATATATTACTTACAAAACATATATAAAAGGAGTAAAAATTGTAAATATTTATTTTTTATGAAAAAAAATAACAGATGCAATATTTTCAATTTGTTGTTAAATGTAATTAGATTTATATATATGTAAATATTTACTTTTATGCAGAAAAATACTTCAAAACTCACAGTTTTTTAATCAAAGCATTGTTACATTTTCTAATAATATATTTTGTAGATTTATAATGTTCTTTATAATTAAAAAAGTGATTTTCAGTAGATTAATTTTAACTGTTTCCCTTAGTTATCTTACATAAAATAAAATATTTTTTAATTAGTTTTGAAGTTAAAAATAACTTCATGGATTTTTCATCACTATTTACACTTGAAATACTTCATTTCTCCATAATATATTTACAATTTAATTTAATCTTCAATTTTTTACCTTATATATTTTGTAGGATCAATTTTGTTTTAATGCTTCTTTAGTACTTCACATATAAGATTCTATTAATATCTAATTAACTATAGATATTTTATACAAACAACACTTACAACTGAACATTATATTGTTCAAAACTACCAAAATTCATACTGCTATGCGTAAATTGCACGTGAAACTGAGCCACGAAAACACATTTAACTGCTAGAAATTTATTTTGTATTTAAATGTTTTTTAGAAAGAAAAACACGCACAATTCCTTCGAAATGTGTTTTCAAAATATATGTATCATTTTTTTAAATAAAAGACCGAATATAATACAATATAATACAATCTGGTGGTATAAAATATAATTGAATTACCTTTTAACCTTAAAATACGAATGTGACTAAGTGCTGAATCAGTCAGGAATATTTTTTTCAAACCATCATGAAACACGCATCTAAATAAAAAATAAAATGCTTTGTAACATCTGGAACGTTCGATAATTAACATGTGCACTTAAAAAAAGGTCAATGTTTTATTCAATTTAATTAAACTGTCAACTCGACATTTATATTTATACATATATAATCCCACGATACTTTCTACATACGCTTTATAAGTGTAAGAACGCGCAAGTCCCGTGTGTAAAAATGCCTAATCATTAATTTCTGTAGGTAGTAAGAACATTTATAGTTTCTTTCATATTAATTAAAATTAATTCCCCTATATAATAATCATCGATAATCATCGCATATCTTACAGTGATATAATGCTGAATTGTTACTTGTAGAGCGCGATAAATATCAACCAATCAACGTTCCCATAGATAATTATCCATACATATATATATACATTTATTCACACATATATATAAACCTTATACATATTATAATTAATTGCATTTTGCATGAATTATTTGAAAATATAAGATATGTTTCTTGTTCATTTTTTCTTCATATTTTATTTTAATGAAATAAATAATGTAATGTATAAATATGAAAGTCTGCAAAATAAACTAGACTAACAAACGTGGTTCAAGATGTTATTTCTTGCTCATTTTTGAAACTAGTGGTTTTTGTTGAACTTATGATAACTTAAGTCTATAATTAGAGTAAAAATTGCGAATCTTAAGAACTAAATAGTATTTGCAATAAAAGTATCTTGATTCAATAATGTAATATAAGAATCCAGAAATCCGGAAATTTTAATTTATAACTAACGAAATATTTTACTTATTGAATATCTTTATGAAAATTCACAACGATTAAATCAAATTGATATCTTTCAGTTATGCATATGATTTCTAAAAACAATTGAATTAAACTATGTTAATATACTTTTATTTATTACTATACAAATTTTAGATTACAATGTAATTTCGGTATAATGATTCAATAGTTTTATTTATCCTCATTAAATCTTGCAGGGTTTACACAAACTTTTTTACGAAAATGATATTTTTGTTAATTTTAAATGTAAAGTGTGTTATAATAAAAAATACCATTTATTGTTCTATATGTAGATAATAATTAAGCAAGAATATTCATTAGCAAATAAGTCAGAATGTTGGTATTATATTATGAATTGTTAATGGCTGCTGTGTGCAGTTCTTGCCTGTTTTTATATAATCGACGTCGGATAATAAACCAAACATTATTGACTATAATATTGACAGTGATGTGTTATACAAAATTTTGTATTTATTTCTAATAAATGATAATTCTATATTCACGATGTTGAAATATCACAATAGTGTGGATTATATAAGAAATAAAATGATGCATTTTTTGCTGGCGTAAAACGAAATATGTATGTATTTTCAATATTGATCTCTGTTATAAAAATAAGCAAAGCAGAATTAACATTTATAAAAATATAAAATGAAAAAATGGCAGATATTTTAACTCCATTTGTTTATTGGGCTCAAACAGAGCAACAAATTACTTTAAAGGTAGACTTGACTGATACTTGGGTATGTAACTGCTAATATTATGGACTTTATTGTTTATGGGTTTGTATAGATCAAATTATATACTTTGTAGCGTGTTAAAGTTTCTATGAATGAGAACAAATTAAAGGTTACTGTTTATGGTCAAGGTGCTAGAGGTCTTAATAAGTATGGATTTAGTTTGGATTTACATTCGTCCATTAATGTTGAGGTAATTGTTCAAATAAATTTTATAATTATGATTTATGTATGTAAATGTATATTTGTGGTTTTGATGTACAAATTTGAATGGGTTTACAATTTATGTTTACAATTTATGTACATTATTTTTTTTATAGTTGTAAATGATAAATAAAGTGTATATTAACATTTGTATAAAACTATTTTCAGCATGTCTTAATAAGTTTTAGTAAGTATTAGATTTTTTAGTCTAAGATTTTTTTTGTGTATGATAACCTAATAATCTGAAATGGATTGTAGTTTGAAAAGATGAAAAAATGAGTTTATTATGAATTAAATATATAATAATGCTAAAGCCATATATAATTAAATTATTGCAGAATTTAGTATTGTACGTATTAACAGAAGAATGAATGAATTAAAAAATATTATATAAATTTATATTATGTTATATTGTATAATATATTAAAAGATATTCTAATAGAAGTTATTTATGTTGATTGATTTTAATGTTTAACTTTCTATTATATTAAAAGTTTAGATGTTATCAAAGTTCCAATTGATATTTAATAACAGTACTATATACTGTTTCTTAAGGAATAGTATTGTATAAAATTAACTTGTTCATCATTTAGTCTAAGCTTATACTACTTTTGTTAAAAATTGATTTATTCATTAATAATAAAATGAAGAGAACGAAGAGAAATTTAAAGAAAAATGAAGATTTTTTATATTCATTGCCTTGAAATAAAATTTTAAAAATTCTAATTATGCAAAATAAAGGCAAAAAAACCAAAATTTTTCAAATATTTTTGGTTGCCTGATTTTTGATATGTTGTACTCTAAGAAAGGAAAAGAAATTATTCTTAAATATTTTCTTTTTCATACTGCATCATGAGCTAGTAGGCCGGAACAGTTTTGCAACTGCAACCTATGTGATATCCAGCATTTTTTAGACAATTTTTTAGACAATTGCCAATGAAATATTTGTTACCAAATGAAATTAGTTCTGTCGTACTAGAATTCTTGTACTTGAACTAGAGAAAAGAGCTTACATGTGCTGGGTTTACACTAGCTAGAACTATTTGCAAACTGTCTGTGAACAATTCACAACCTGTTTGTAGGTTGTTCGTGAACAGAAGCAGCATCGTATTCACACTGGACTTTGCTAACAGCTCGTGAGCAGAATACAAGCAAGCCTGTCGCGAATGAGCCCACCTCTGGAGTGATCAGTGTTTGCTGTTCGCTGACGAGTTCGCTGCTCGCTGCTCACGAACAACAGTATGGACCCAATATTACAATACTTTATTTGGTTCATCGTACATAATAATGCATTTTCTTTGTATCTTAATCTTATTTATTACATAATAGAAGCAAAATTGATCATTACAGGAAAGTAATTACAAAGTAACAGCTCGACAAGTTGATTTTACGCTGGGAAAAAAATGCCCTGCTTGGTGGCCAAGATTAACTAGTCAACCACAGAAACCATCTTGGTTGAAAATCGATTTTGATAAATGGACAAGCGAAGATTTAGATGAAAATGAGGATGAAAAACGAGACGTATGCAGTGATTATCCCGATATGTATGACAAACTTCATAAAGAAGAGTTTGGTTATAGGAAAGGTATATTTTATTAAAAAATGTGTTTCAATGTAGATAATAATGAATTTTCATTAAAATGTTAATAATATTTTATAATTATTTACTGTGCAGAAGATTTCAAAAAGGTGTATTTAATTATTTACAATCTTTGCCAATTTGTTGGTTTTATCTATGTTCTTACTGTAATGGGAATTATGTATTCACGAGATGGGCCAGGTTAGTAATTGCATCATCTATACATTTAAAATCAATTAAATGTAATAATTCCTAAAATGATTTTAACTATTAAATTTGTAATTGTAGCTTCTATGAAAGAAACATACACAACTGTTGGAAATGCAATGAAGTTTATACAACTTATACAATTTTTAGAAGTTATGCATTCATTATTTGGTTACACTAAAAGTAGTACACTTGTAACATTTGTACAAGTAGGAGGCAGAGCCTTTATTTTATTTACTATGATTGAGGCTGAACCACGAATGCAAACAAAACCGGTTATTTTTTATCTGTTCCTTGTGTGGAGTACAGTAGAAATATTTAGATATCCTTATTACATTACACAATTACTTAAAATAGAAATTTCATTTTTAACATGGCTAAGATATACAATATGGATGCCCTTATATCCATTAGGTTTCCTTTGTGAAGGAATTATAATATTAAGAAATATTCCATATTTTGAGGAAACACAAAAATTTACTGTTTCTTTACCAAATTCTTGGAATTTTGCATTTCATTTTCCATCATTTTTAAAGATATATTTATTGATATTTTGTTTACCCTTTATGTACATGCTAATGTCTCGTATGAATCATGCGCGTTACAAAAAGTTAGGCAAGTCTAAACTAAGAAAAAAGTATGCGTGATGTAATACATGGCAAGATCAAGAAATTAAAAATAGAAAATTTAATTGATGGTTCAATTATTGAAGGTATAATTTATCCTAAAATTAAAATGAAATGAATAAAACGAACAAATCTTTATTGTAAATATATTTATTTTAAACATACTATGTTTAAACAAAACACAATAAAAAACATTTTTCTCTATATATTTATAAACACAATATAAGTAGATTAATTGTATGTATACATATGATTTTATAATTATAAATAAATTAATTATTACTAAACAAGATTATTTTTACCTCTTTTAATATGTACTGATGAATTTTATAAGTTAAATTTTGACTGGAACAGGAACCAGAGAAAATTTATATTAAAATCATTAGTGTAAAAAAAATATTTTTTATAATTTTATCACATTATTTGTCATATTTGTTTTATTTCCATATAACTCTTCTATATTAGCTGTCTGTTATATTTTTATATTTGTAAGATCTTTTGATAAATAATAGATGTAAATCTTAATTTTCAATTCATAAATTAGTAATATACACATGCACACATACATGCAATACATTTTATATATGTATATAAAATATAGATATATATGTGATATAAATAAGTGACTCTATATTAATTTTCTTTTTTTAATTTCGATATATGTCGACATCTCAATATTCAAATAAAACTACGATTTAATTCAGTGATTATTTTCCAAAAAATATAGTGAATCTTACATCCGGTTTAATAACGAGGAAAATCTTTGTTTATTGTATGGTGAGAACACGTGGGGTGGTTGTGTATTTTAATTTATGAAAGGAATAAGTGATATTACTTTTTTTACTTTTTAATACTATGGACATGTTTGAATTAACTATTTGGAAAGGTGATTGGGGTTTACCATCAGTTGACACGGAATGCTTGCAGGTTTTGGTATGTAATTTATGTATAGGTTATAACACACTTTCAATATCACAAATTTTATAGGCTGCTAAATATTTTAATTATTTTTATATTTTATCAAAAAATAAACAATAATTTCAGTATTTTAACAAACAATATATTTTTTAATTTTTTAATATGAACGATGAAAAAACCACATATGTATATTAATGTCTTGATTTTTAAATAATTTTTGTATCTAATATAACTTTTAATTAGTCATTTTGTCATATTTTTATGATAAAAATTTCTTAATAACCTTATTTAGAATAAATATTATTTTTAAAATATTTAATTATATTACCATATAAGTAGATGATAAAAATTTCATTGCTTTAAAGTATAGATTCCACAATGATAATAGAAATTTTTATTGAAAAATATAAATATTACTAGTGTATTAATTGCTTGTGTATTAACTGTGTACATTCAATCAAATATGAAATAATTTGTATTATAATAAAATTTCGTAGTTATTTCATGTTTGTAACATATAATGGTATTTTATTTAAACACATACATTGAGAAGATAATTTGTTGATAGAATTATAGATCAAAATATTTATCTTAATATTTTGAAGCAAAATTTGAATTGTAATATTAGAAAGTCTTTACTATTGATCAAAATAAGAATTTAGCATATAAAAAAGAAGATAAAAGCATATAAAAAAGATTATCATATAACTTTATAAGCTCTTGCAATTTCTACTCCACTCACAAGTAAAATGATAATTTAAAAAATAAATTTGAATAATAATAAGTCTGAAACTTAAAGTATTATTCAAATGTGATTCATAACTTTTGTCGTATTATCATGTTTTCATTAGCTAAATTATATATAAGTTATTTTTTTAGTTTTGTAAATATTAATTAGCTACCACCTTTATTTAAATTATATAGTTAATTATAAAAAAAATAAATTAAAAAAATTAAAATAAATAAGTATAGTGTATAGAGATTTTTTTTTTATTAATATGAAACTGTTTTGTGGAAATTGTTTATATACACATCTATACATATAGATAGACTTAGATTTATCTATTACCAAGAAGAATTTCTTATTAGTGATTTATGATCTTTAAAAACTTCCAAGTATAAAAAACATTTATATTTTGTCACTGAAATCATATCTTCACTTTGCTTCAAATTTATTTATACATCTCATTATCGAAAGAAAATCTCTTTAATTTCACATTAAGTTCGATAGTTTCCTTTTTAATTATTAGGTTCTGTATTTCCACTAACTTCTCAAGCTTCATATTGAATTCATCTATGCTATTCTTTGTACCAATTCTTTGATTTCATATGTAGTACTTTCCTCCAATTTCACATCGAGTTTGTTCATATAGATTCTACGATTTTCTGTTTTCTCATCATCGAATTGTATCATAAATTCGTTAATATTCGGACTTTGCAAAACCGAATGTTTTGATGTTAAAAGATTTTGATGTTACTGTAAATGAGCAAATGTCATTCATTATTTGAATGAAAAAGCGAAGTTATCAACATTTGTTTTTTTTAGGTTTATGCCAAATTTAATGGTATACCTTTGAAAATCAATGCAGCTGGTAATCCATTCAATAGCAATTTACCCATATTAAAATATAATAATTATACATTTACTAAAGTCAAGGATATAATAGAAGTTTTTAGAGAAAATAATTATAATACAGAACAAAGCTTAAGTCGAAAAGAATGTGCGAAGATTATGGCTTACGATATTATGTTGAAAGAAAAATTATTCCCAGCATTACAGTTTATTTGGTACGTACATTTCCCATGTTCAAAAGGCTTCAAAATGCATCTGATTTAAAGAGTAAAGTGCAAATTTTTTACATCGATCATTATTAGATTCTAAACTGTTATTTCTATTATTTACTCTCCTCAGAAAACATCTCACGTGAACAAATATTTATTTAATGCAGAAATAATTATGATAAATAAATAAATATTTTTAGGTGGGTAGATGAGAAAAACGTGAATGAATTAATAAGACCTTGGTATTGTAAAGCAATGCCATTCCCATTTAATTTTTATTATCCAGGAAAATTCGAACGGCAAGCTCGTGTTATATTTGAAGCTTTGTACCCTGTAGAAGATGATATGTCTATTATAGAAAATAAGGTAATTGCCTATCTTGAATAAATTGATTTTACGAAAATAAATGACATTTAATCATAAATCTGAAAACTACCGGGGAAGAATGGAATTAACAAGCTATATACAACTTTAACTTCTATTGAATAATTTTACAAGGGGAGAATTATCTGACCAATTATCCGATTATCGATTTTAATGGTTTTTTATAAGATGATAATATATACGTAGTTCGTAATAGCAAGATGTGAAATATTAAATCTAGATAATTTTGAAGGTATTTTTCAATAAATATAATGAATATAAATTAAAGTTATTGCGTTGCAAAATACAACTGAAATTACACGTGAAAATATTTAAAAACAGTATTTCTTTTTAAAAAATAAATATTTAAAAACAGTATTTCTTTTTAAAACATAAATTGTTAGTGTTGTTTGTAAGGATAGTTTCTCAACTGAATAAAGAAGAAGCTTAGAAATCAAATTTTTAAATTTGGGGTCTACATTTTTTTATTCTATGTTGTTATAGCTGGCATCGAAACATTTTCAAAACGTTGTGTCTTTTGCATAAGCAAATTTCGAGATATGATTCTACAAAGTTGAAATACTGCTGACATCAGCATTACTCGACACATACAATTGTACATCGTGGGAAAGTTATTCAGTCGAATTTTGTAAGTACGTATATTATACTAGCACTAAAAAAAAAAAAAAAAAAAAAAAACCGATTGTATTTAATCCTGTATTTTGTAAATTATCGATGGAACTATGTAACTGCTTCTTAATTAATATAGCTTTGGAAATGCTAATATAGTTTTCACGAAGTAAAGCATTAGTTTGAAGATTCTTCTGGTTAATAATTTATACTTAGGATCGAAACACTTTGAATATATATTTTCGAATTTCGTATCTTCCACGATCGAGAATGGTCGAAGATCTGTAAATACAAAATTAATCCATCGATCTTTTCTTTTCTAGCATTATTTTTTAAAAGTAAGATAAAATCAATAAACGATATTTTTCTGTTGCAAATAATAACTTGCTACCGCTTCTTTAAAACATCATGAACTTTTTATGTGTTTAATCATATCTGTTGTATATTTGGTAAATTTCAATCATTTCGCAGATATATATATATATATATTGCATTTAACAGTCTTTATCATTCTCTTACTATGATACTAATAACTTTAATGAGATATTTTCCTGTTAACTATATGTTCAATATTATTGCCTTCATCTTCAGAATTATCAAATATCTATATCCAATATTTCATACAGGATAGATTATTAAGAACCTATATGTCATCTTACAAAAAGCCGTTAAAATTGAAAGCTAATATTTAATTTACATTCTGCGTTTAAATATAGCGAGATTGAAAGTTAAATTAGTCGAAAAATATACTTTCTCTCTGCCACTTCTTTCTTTTCATTCTTTTTTCCAGCTCTTTTATTTTTCTTTTTTCCCCTTTTTATCTTCTTTTTTGGATTTTATTCGCCCAAGTCTTCCAATTTTTTTTTCCAGATTCATTAACTTTCCAAAACTTCTTAAAAACTTTTAGAAAAAGAAATGTTAATAGCAAATGTGTATGTAATAGGTCTATTCTGAAGCGCAGAAATGCTTGACACTGCTATCTACAAGTCTTGGAGAATCACTATATTTTTTGAATGAGAAACCTACTCTGTTGGATGCTGTTGTATATTCTTATTTAGCACCATTGCTCAAAGCTCCTTTACCAAATCCAGCATTACAAAATCATCTAAAAGCTTGTACAAATCTGGTAACGTTCGTAGCCCGCATATCTGAAAGATATTTTTCAAACGAATGTCACGAATATAAAACCAAAGAAAACGCTCAAAACGTCAAACAATATACACATAATGAATTTCCTAACAAGAGACGAACACAATTAGTCGCTGGATTTTTTGTTACTTTGATGATGGCAACTTACGCATTTTCGACTGGAATATTAGAGGTAAATATCTTTCCTATGAATTAATAATACAGATAGCCTTGAATGTTTCAAAAATTCAATAAATATTCATGTTTCGATAATAAATCGAATGACAAATTACAATTTATGAAAATTTTATTTTTTGTCGAAGTCATGCGTTACTATATTCGTTTCAAAGTAATATTTAAATAATAGATGTATAGTGAACGAGGTGATACGTAGATATTTTTAGTTATTTTTACTTTAGATATTTTCGAAATCTAATAAAATATATTCAATACTGAATTAACGAAACCAATAAATTAAGTATAAAGAATTACTAGAAAAAAAAAAAAAAAAACGCTAACAATTACAGAGTTACAATGATTATCGCATCAATTTCAAATAACTTTTAGATCTAGTTGACCAATAGTTTTTATATATTCATAAAATACGATTTATAATATTTAAAAAACTACAAAAATAATTATCAAAAAAAGTACCAGCTATAAAAGTGGAGTGTGTATATATACAGGATGTTACCTGTAACAAAAAAAAGTTTAGAACAAAAGTTGAACGGTACAGGGAGTACAGTAGGTGTCAATAAAAAAAATTTCGAAAACTGTTTGTTTTCATAGCTAAATCAAGATCACTTTGGATTAAACAAATAGGAACACATAATTTTTTTTTCCACCGTATTGTAGAGAAACATCGAGACGAATCAAAACATATATTACATGATATTTTTATTAACATGTTACTCCATTTACCTTAGTGAAAATCGTTGCTTCAGAAGGTTGCTAGTAACAAATCGGACTGACGTAGGTTTCGAATTATTCTGTCCTACGTAGTTTATCAATCGTTGCTCCTTTTTTTTAGCGTACTTTTAAATCATTGTATTCGGGTCTTCAATAACACTTTGCGTAACACTCTAGATAAAATCGAGCAAGTGTCGCTTATTAGATCTAATTTGTAACTTACAATTAAATTGTTACAAGCCACGTTGTAATTTTGATTATTGACATTGGAATATATTCGTATTGTTAAGTTCAATTAGTATTATTCCTTTCAAAATCCTTTATTATCGAAATTATTATGTCATATTATATATCATATTATATATCAGTACTTATGCGAGATAAGTAAATATACAGTCGTGTCGGTTGATTTGTATTAACGATGCATGAATATTACTAATATATATAAAGTAATATTAAACTAATAATGTAAAGTAATATAATTCTGTAAAATGAAAAATCATGATATTTTGGAATAATATTTCAAAGAATAAATTTTAAACGAAGAGCGACCATATATGTATACATTGGATAATGAAGATAAATATATTACAATAACACGCGAATTTAATCAAATTTTAGTATGTAATAATATTGTTCAACATTATCTCTCGGTATACAATTTTTACTGACATTTGTGATGACCAGTGCACATTTTTAAGTTAATCTTCGTTTCATCTTTGCAGAAGATGGATGGAAATGAACTTTAATACACATTTGAAGATCCGTAGAACTTGCAGAAAAGGATTCTAAAGAATGATCATGTTAAGCAAAATTGATGCGGAATATTAAAATATATTTTACACGGAATAAAAATGTTATAATCATTTACCAAAATGTGATCATACAATATTAAAACACTAATTTATAATACAATGGTTGTTTTTATATTCGTTTCTATGTATACAGAATATTTGACAGAATATTTAAAAATTGTATTTGAAACTTTATTTTTTAATTATTAAAATTTAAAAATTATCTAAAATATTTTTAAAATTTAATGAAATTTTGTCAATAAATATATATATATATATGTAGATATATAAAAGAATTTAAACCACAAGGCTATTGATTCTGAAACTCAACATATAACACACACACACACATATATATATATATATGGTAATTTATCTCGTACAAGCAGATATCAAGACTATGATGTTTGATGTCGTAAATAATACTGCTGTTTTGCAAATATTGTAGATTAAACATCGACTCTGGTTACTTACAGAATAAAATTTTTTAAAATGAATATCAAAACTCATTCTGTTTTGAATGAAGAAAGTTAATATCCAGTTTACAAAATTCTTCATATAATTAAAAAAAAAAAAAAAAATTTAACAAGTAAAACGTACAGTATATTCGCAATACAAGTTACTGGAAAATAACTATTACGTAGTATAATATTCTCATATGCATAAGTAAATAGAAAAAAACTTTAGAATAAATGAAGTAACACAGGTAGAACGACTTCTCTTTTAAACTTTTAAACTGAATTCACACAATCTATTCCTTACTCTCTCCTTCAAAATAAAACATTTCAATGAGAAGTGAGCTATGCATACATATATGTACATATCTCGACTTACAATCCAACGCGCAATATAATGTTCTATAAAAAATTTATACTAAAAATGTGCTATACGTTTTTGTAAATTATTAGTTTTTTATTTTGTAATGTTTTTGCTTTATTTTTTTTCTCTAAATATCTTTATATATAATATATATATTTTTTACAGATCTTAATTTGTGATTGTAATTGTAATTTGATATTTATATTTCATATTAATATTAACAATACACGATATATATGTTGAAGGTATCAGCAAAGAACAGTGAAATTTCGGATATACCTGCGGAAGATTCCTTTACTAACAATGAATAAAATGAGGAAATTGGAAATATCACTTCATTGGAAATATAAGTTTTACTTAACATTAATATAATTTTCTACTTTTTGTTACTACAATTTGTTTGTAATATTATCAGTAGATTATAATCATATATATGTAACAATTACAAATTGTATAAATAAATATTTAAGATCAAAATAGTTACATATAGTGTTTCAATTATTATTGTTTTTGTATTTTGTTAAGATGCCCGAAGTAGCATGTTGAATTTCCTCTAAGAAACTTGCTGAATTATGAATGGTAGTACCACCTAAAATAATTTTTATCCCAGGATTTTGTTTATTTAAATTATGGACTGTCAGACTTTCTTCATACGTTGTTCCCCCAATCATAAAAACAATAATATCTTGTGGCCTGTAAAATAATAAATACATAGTTACTAGTTGTAATAAATGTAATTATTATTATTAACTATCACTTGTATATGATTTACTTTTTTGACATCATTGTACTTCCAAGATATGGGAATGTTTGCAAACTTAGTTTTCCTTTTATTAAATCCTCAAGTGTTTCATTTAGTAAAGGTGTATGTTGGGTATAAATGTTATCTACTCCACTTAAACCTTTAAATAACTTTTTAGTTATCTTGGCTACTGCTTCTCGATCAAATAAATTACTTTGCCTTGCATTAATTCCACTGTATTCCAATATGTTGTACACAAGCTGAAATATTATTTTTAAATTATAGTAAATTTGAAACTTATATTAAATCAAAAATCTATTCATTTTTGTATACCTTCACATATTTGTCTGAAACACCTCTGTTTTTTAATAAATTCAGTAAACCATTGATATCATTATTTGCATATTTTTCATAATGAAGCGCATATAACATGACCAACCTCACTGCATCAATTTCTCGTATTTGTTGATTATTAATAAGCTCTTTTATTTTTTGCAGCTTTGATAACAACGAAAAACATACAATTTATCATTAAGTGAAGATATGATGATTATAAGCACAATTAGCAATTGGTTTCTACTATACCTGCATGGAATGATCACTCTGACAACTAAGTTCCTGTTCTAATTCTGATACTTGCAATAGATGATGTTTTTCCACAAGAGAAGAAAGTTCCCCAACTACCGTCACATGCTTTGATACAGTACCAGATAATTTTTTAAATAACGGATAAGTCTCTACAAAATTCTTCATGTCGGCTATGCTTTCTACTTTTTGATGTTTCTTAGCTTTCTTTTGAAATTCATCCATCAGTTCTTTTATTGTTTGTCCAATTTCGCCAAAGTTAAGATATAAATTCTATTTAAAAATATTTTTGTTTTAAAATTAGAAAATTATATTTAAATGTATAAAATAAAAAATGTATGAAAAATTAGAAAATTATATTTATATATAATATATTTATATAAATATATAAAAACATCAACAAAATGATAATAAATACTTATGTTCTTACATTTGCATAAAATTCATCATGTTCCGCGCTAAGAACAACTTCTCTTAATTCTTTCGAAATGCCTTTTACATGTGATAAATTAACACGATTGTTGTTAATAGTTAATAATTCATGAACCATTGCTTGATAAGTCCATTGATTTAATAAAGGAGTAACAGGATCATCTCTTCTATCAACTATTAATAAAATTGGACAAGAATCCTGTTTGAACTCAAATGAATTCGATTCTTTACTTAGTACTTCGCGTATTTTTTCTGCTAATCTCTTTGCCATTTCAGAGCTATTTTGATAACGTATATAAGGACATTTTTTAATTGACAATAAAACCGAAATTAAGCCTGAAACGGTTCTGTGTAGATGTACTGGATTCCATAGCAAACCTTAGAAAAATAAAAATAATAGAATAAGTAACGTATTTGTTGAATGATATTAGTATAACCTCAAAGGAACTGAATATATTAATAATATATTAAAAAATAGACTCAAGATGCAAAATATTCTTTCATATAAAATTTTGTTCTTGAGTATGTTCATGCATTACTTCTATGGAACTGGAGTGTTTATACTTTATATTTTTTAGTCATTCTTTCGCATTATGATTCTCAATCATTTAATTAATCGATTAATAAAAGATTTGTTACCTTGTGAGCATGTATTAATTCCAAGTGAAAACAAATGAGGGCTAATAGCTAAGTAATCTGCATAATATTCGTGAACTTCTCTTACTACCTCTTGTTCATCACTCTCAGCCAGAAGTTTGATATCAGCCTTTGCAATAATATTACTGAAATCTGAATAGTAATATAATAATTAATCAAATAATTAATTGATATATTATTGAAAATGACTAACATTTTGAAATTTCTAAGTGTTTGGAAATTATTGAAATAATACTTACAAATATAATATGTACCATATTTAGGATATCTTAATTCGTTGCAAAGGTATTCGATATTTTCTTTGGTTGGTCTTATGAAAACTATACATTTTAAATGCTTTAATCCTTCATTACGAACATTTGCATCAATCCTTTCAAATAAATAAACTTCTTTAAGAAATATTTCTGATTGACTATATAATAAACTCACAATACTTGTCTAAAAATACAAATTATTTTTGAACTTATCTAATGTGCAATGAAATATGCAATAAGAAAAGTGTCAATCTCTTATATATAAAAAAAAGTTATTATAACATAAAATAGAAGATAATAAACGTAATATATTTTTGAGAGAACACAATATATCATTCCAATATTAAGAAATTTCTTAATTTTGGAACGATATTTATGATAAATTGATGTAGTAATTTATAAATATTTATAATTCTAATGTATTTCAATTATAATTTCTAAATATTATTTATTATAGAATATTTTGTCTTTACCGTTTGCTTATCCATCAAAAGAACTTTCATGCCCGGACCACTTTCTTCTGTCATCCGAGTGATATAAAATTTTAAAGCGGTAATTAAATTCATTTTATTTGAAGTTTATTTAATTTTTTTGTAACTATCAATTACATCTTGTAAATTTGATAATAATATTATGTTTAATCTGCAAGCATTACAAAATATAGAAAACACACAGTTTACAAATGTAAACACTACTCTTCAACTATGTATATCTATATTAACATTATCACTAGTCTAGAAATAAACTTTAAGAAGCATACATATGTAGTAAAATTACAGACTATAACTAAGATTAAGAGGTGAAATAAGAAATATAGAGAATAAATACAGTAACTAGATAATATATGTTGGTCCTAATTTTTCTTATCATAATTTTCAAAAGTATATTTTTATACTATTAAATATTTTATTCTTTTTGACAACATATGCAATATTAAAATCCTTATAAAATTGCTCAGACCATTTTTATTAAAATCTCATGTTTTAGTGATAATTTAATTTTATTCTAGACTCTTATCATAATAATGTAGTAGATTAACTGCAATTGATACAAGAAAGTAAATTATAAATTTAATATACATAATTATACTTCTTAGCCATTTCTTAGTATTATTTTGTCTATGGTACAAGAAACGTCAAATTTCAGAGGTTATGTCTTATCTTGTAATAGGTTAAGATAAATTAATATTTCATATATAATGTAAAAAAAAAAATAAATTATGAATATATTTATACTTCTATACTTTTTACTCCTCAGAATTATTTTATCTGTGATATAAGAAACGTCAAATTTCAATAGGTTCAAATACATAGGTTATGTGTAATACTACTATTTGAAATAAATAAGAAATTTATGCAGTTTGAAAATATATTATATATTATATATAGAAGAAAAAGTAATATTCAAAAATTTATATATTTATATACACATATATTGGATTGAATACAACCAATAATATGCTTTCTATCTATGTATACACATACATACATATTACGTAGCATAACGAGTGTTAGGTGTTCCCAGAAGAATGTTTTTATCATTTATCATTGTTTTATAATAAACAATTATTATTATTACTACTATTATCGTTTAATTGATAAGAAATCTAAAAGAAATCTATTACTAATGTGTTGTTCAAGTTTTTGCGCTCACTTTATTGAAATTACAAGATATTTCCTTTTGAAACATATTCAAATATTTTACTGATTATTACATTGGAAAATGAAGAAAATCAAAAGATTTGTGGATCATCTGAAAACGAACACATGTAGAAATACAAATTTTACGAATTAAGCATCATTTATTTTATAAAACTTGTGGTATCATCATATTTTCTAACGAAATTATAGGTATGTCGACTGCAATATATTATTGTATTACTTCGTCATTTTTCTTCTTTCTAGTAAAATAACAACAACAAAAGATATTATTGTAGAAAAGATCAAACATAGATAAATAAATATATGGAGACAAAAAAGAAAGAAAAGAACAATAAAAAATACGATTTTGAAATCGATTCTTTTATGATTGATTTTATTGACAATGAGTGTAAATAAGAATGTGTTATAAAACTCAAAGAAAATGTAAATTTTTTTGATTTTCAACAAGAATTTTTTTTTGTTTCTTTTTTATGAAAAAATACACATCTAATGAAAAAATTGATACGCGTAAGTTTTCTTATTAAATTTTTAGTAAGAATGTACGAGTTCGGAGTTAAAATAAATAAAAATAAAAACAATATAGTTGACTGGTAATCTATATCGCACAAACTATTTTAACAAGATATGTATCTCTATTTATAGATTGTGAAAATTTTATCAGAAAAGTTATCTATCAACCGCATGATTGTTTGGCAAAACTACGACACAATTCGACTGATAAGCATGTGGTTTTTTGCTTTTTCCGTTTTCATCCTTGTTTAAATTACTCTATTCATTTTTTTCGAAGGATATAAAATAGGAATCGCGTAAGTGAAAGCTGTAATTTTAATACGTTGTCGTAAGAGTAAAATATTTTTTATATTTATATTGGTAACTACGATTTACCGTCATTTAAATATATAATAAAGCGTAAATGCTAAGCGGTTATCAAACATTTGGTGAAAGCTATTTCGTGTTCACAAGATAACGTTTTAAACTAATTTAACAAATGCGTACACAAATTTTTTCGACTATTCGTTTTTTAACGTAAATATGTATAAATATGTTTTTTGTTTTCAAAGGAACTCTATATTGCGTATTACTAAAATTGAAATATTTGTTATTATAGAAACTTATAGATAAAGTGCTTCAATTAATCGTAAAATAACTTTCTAAACACTTTATTGTTTTTTATTTGCTGTTTTCGATAACACTGATTAATTTTGTTTACACAGGTTACGTACGAACCAGCAAATGGCTGAGATAATGAGAAGGAAAAAGGTGTGCGTAATAGGAGCCGGCGCAGCTGGACTCTGCGCAGCCAGACACTTTGCGCCAAATTTGAATTTCGAATTGAAAGTTTTCGAGCAAACAAATAATATCGGTGGCACGTGGGTTTATAAAGAAGCAACTGAAGTTGACGAAAATGGTTTGCCTGTTCATTCGAGCATGTACCGCGATTTAAGGTTTAATTTTGTGCTTTAAGTGATTTAACTTAAGTTTTATGTTATTTTTTTGTTTATTGTGCGGTGTTAAAATTTAAAACAAAATTGCATTGGATTGCAGAACTAATTTACCAGCGAAAATTATGAATTTTCCTGACTATCAGAGACTGAATGCTGTAGAACCTTGTTGCGTGTCACACCAGGAAGTTCGATCTTATTTACAGAATTACGCGGATCATTTTGATTTATTTAAATACATTCAGGTATCAATTTTCAAGCGTGAAAATTCTTAACGATTCGTTACAAAAGGTTTAATGTTATAGTTTGGGACAAGAATAGAATCCGTTCGATTGCAAGTGTCAGCTGAAGGTGAAGAGGAATGGGCTGTGCGAACAAAAATTATGAAAACAAAAGAAGAGAAAGAAATTATTTTTAATGTTATAATGATTTGTAACGGGTACGTTCCTTCCTTAGTATTAAACATCGCAACGATTCATGAGTTTCGCTCTTATTTAATTTTCTTTTAAGTTACGTTGTTTTGTTAATTTCGTTTCAATTGTATTAATTTAGACACTATTTTGATCCTTATATGCCAAAGATACCTGGAATCGAAAAATTTCCTGGTGTGATAGTACACAGTCATTCATATCGGAAACCGGAAGATTTTTCTGGTAAGAGCGTTTTAATTTTGGGAGCAGCTGCTTCTGGAGTCGATATCGCTCTTGATTTGGCTAACCACGCAATTCGAATATATTTAAGCCATAATAATGAAAGGTATTTCCAATGATTTTCAGATATAACTAATTAATTGATCCTCAGTTGACAAATTGAAGCGACATGTTTTCAATATATTTAGGTTAAATAGTTCTTTACCATCAAATATAATTGAGGTGTTAGGCGTGGAGAAGATAGAGGAAGGAAAAATTTTTTTAAAAGATCAAAGTTCCGTCACGGCGGACGTATTTATGTTTTGTACAGGATACCGGTATAGTTTTCCATTTTTAGACGAAAACTGTGGAATTCGAGTGGATGATAATTTTATAACTCCTTTATACAAACATTTAATCAATATTGACCATCCTACGATGTGTATTGTTGGAGTGCCTACTGTGGTTGTTCCATTTCCTATGTTTCATATGCAAGTAATGTATATTGATATATTAAATACTATATTAAAATTACAAACGTACATCCATTAAAGACCAATTAGTGAAGTAACGTGTAAATTTAGAATTCTTTGAAAATAAAAAATTGGTCCTTAATGGGTTAAATACCATTGATCGTGCGACTAGCGGGTGTGCAAATATCAATTTTTCAGATACAGTATTTCCTTGCACTATTAGAGAAAAGAGCAAGCCTACCGACAAAATTAATTATGTTGGAGAACTCGAAGTTGAAAACATCGAAAAAAAGGCATGCGCATAAACTAATGGACAAGCAATGGGATTACAATAATTCATTAGCTGATGCTGGAGGTTTCGATCGTTTGCCAAAATTCTACAAACTTGGATACGAAGCGTGGTCAGCGCATAGGAAAGCGAACCTCTTGAACTACAAGAGGGCCAGATTTGTAATATCCGAAGATGAAGAAAGCGTTGAACTAGTTATACCGAATTAAAGTGTTAAGTGTAACAGTACAGTTTTATAAATCTTTTGTAGTATTGTATTTAATAACGATATTGATTTTGTACAAAGTCAATAACAAATGATTAATTCGCTGGACCGCTTCAGAACTTCTGATTTCGTTGTGGCTTTCGATAGCACGGACCAGATTAATTAAAATTATTGAGCAATTTATAAAGTTGACATAGTTTTACTTTTAATCCAATCTACTAGATCGATAACGTCGGTATAGACACCAGGTGAGTATGGTTGACCGCAATCGTCGCCCCACGAAGTTATACCGATTATGATATTGTCCCTGTTAACCAATGGACTACCAGAATCACCCTATGAGAAACCAACTTAGAGTAAGTTATTGTGACCATTAAAATAAATTTCTGATTATTATCAAATGAATTGTAACCTTGCACGCATCTTTTCCCCCTTGCGAAAATCCATAACAAACTTGATGCTCTGTTACTTCATATCTGCCTTCGTAGTCATTCCTGCATTGTTTTTTAGTCACTTTCGGCACAGTAACGTATTTCAGATCTTTTGACAATATCGGCTTGATATCCTAAAAGTTCAATCTGTTCAACGCAATACATAATTTCTTAGTGATCCCTCATTTTTCTACTTGTCATTTCATTTAAAAATAAAACGTATCAAACGATTATTACTTATTGACTTGTTAATTTTCAATTTTGTTGATTATAGAAATTTTTGCTCAACTGGATTATCTCTTATTTTAATCAAACATTAAAAGTTTATTAATTTTCATAAATCCGTTCAATGATAATCTACGATATAATTCATTTTTAACAAAAGATAACGTGATAGAACGTAGAATGTTTGACTAAAAATATTACTGTATTCAAGAGATTAACAATTCGAGAGACGCATTAACTCGTCTTTCCTTTACAGCTTAAAGAATGACCCGGTTAACAGTTAGTAGCATCGAACTATACTTTCTATGAACAAAGACTTACGATAAAATAGCCCCACCCTGCAATTGAAGCCCAACTTGTGTAAATAGATTCATTTCCAGGTAACTTGACAGGCTGTGTAGCATTGTTAAATTTGAACGGTGGAGATACCTTCAATAATCCAATATCGTAATCGTTATTAAGCTCGTTGTATTTTTCGTGATAAAGAAGCGTTGTTACATTATGAACAACTCCGCCAGTATCGTATTTGTTAGATCCACTGCGGATGTTTATCGAAACGGAATCATTGACAAACCTATGAACCGAATGTATATTAAACATATGAAAGAAAATCAAGATTCAATCTCGGAAAGAGTCTTATTACTTACAGAATAATACAATGAGCAGCAGTTACTGCCCAATCCTCATTGATAATAGCAGCACCACAGGTATATTCACTATTTACACTTAACGATAACTATCACAGATAATCATTTCATTACTAGGTACGCAAGTTTCGTGAAGTTTCGTAAAAGTTGTCAATGTATGAAGGGTTTACGGAAAAATTTCAACAAATTGCAAAGATCGATATCTTTTTGCATGCTACGTCGTATTGCAAATTAAAGTTCGCCGAGTTTCACATTTATTTTGAGATAAAGCGGAGAAAACACAAAGTTGTGACATTATATGTTGAAAAATAAATTTTTGTTTCCTTGACTCTTTTTTTCCCGTGGATACTTCATATATTTTGTACAATCACTTACCATGTACGAGACCTTCGTGATACTGATATATTCACCATCAACGATTCGATCTACACGTGGTAGTGCCAGTCCATTCGTCTTCACTAAAGATGTTCAAAAATGTACGCCTCTTACGTATTAACATACGTAATTAATCGATGATAATTGAAAACTTTATTATTGCATGTTTGTTTTCAAAAATCGACGTAATCACGCTACACTATTATACTAAGTACGTATGTATATGTGAAAGTATATAAATATAGTATTTACATAAAATGATACAAACGTATAAGAAAACACGCATAAAAAGTTTATAAATGGAAGAAGCTTTTTCAATCGTAATGTAAATGTCAATCTGTTCTACTTGTTCGAGACACTGGAGAAACATATCGCATACTTACGTCCGAGAAGTAGAAGGGAAATCGCAGAGAAAAGAAATTCGTCCATCATCGGGCGAAGTTCATCCGTAGCGGTTTCAGCTTTATTCAAAACGACGAAATGAATTTTACGCGTCGATTTCGCAATTTATCCTTGCCACTTATCGAAAGATGGAACGCTTCCAACATAATTGCCGGGTACAAAATTACCTGCGAGCGGCGAGCGGTATCGTTATCGTGAAATTACGTGCATACAATAAATGCTGCAACTGCTTGCGTAAATTCGTCCGAAAACAGACGTACAATTACGAACGATATTCATTGAAACAGATTTATATCTTTCGATATACATAATTCTCTTATTTTATTAAAGTACATTGTGTAATAATTAACATTCGTTATCTGTCAGTGTACATATATATATATATATATATACATACATACATATATATATATACACATATAAGCGATCAATTACGACAATCCCTCGATGTGAACATCCGAAGGAAATTAATCTCAAAGAAGCGTAACAGCGGCTGTTTAATAAGTGCAGCTGGCTTTTAAAGAAACGAAGCGTGAACAGTTGCAAAGGGTGTCAAAGCGGGGTTTATAAAGCGCGATTCAAGCCAATCGTTTTACGAAACAATAGCTGGCAGAGTAGGTACGTCATGGTTTGTAGTTTGGTTGGTTCGTGTTAGTTCGGCGGTGCGGCGGTCTGACGTCTAGTGAGCCGGCTGGTCGAGGGGTGGCAGTGCGGTAGTGTCGCGCCGAAACAACCCTCAGTCTGAAAGTTCTCGCGGTCGGGTGTATGTCTTTATTGACGTCTTTCTGCGCGATTATTTGCCGCATACACGTCCATCTACGTTTACCTTTCGACTGTGTGTTTCATTTCGGGCCTGGTCTCGGATGTCCCGCGCGAGTATCTCGTTGTCAGTGCGGTACCTCCCCGATCCGACAGTTCGGCGGTTAGGTTAATTTCCGGATCAAGTTGACGAGTCAGCGGGCGGGTATCTAAACGGACAGCGGCATTACCAGATAGAAAGAGAGAGAGAGAGAGAGAGAGAGAGAGAGAGAGAGAGAGAGCATCGTTTCGGTGAGTCTTTTGATCGTGCGCCAAATTTGTATTTCGTGACATAACTTGTGACTTTTTTAAAGCAATTTTCTATTCGAGAGAGCGCGAACACTCGCTAGATCAATAATCGTTACGATTCTACGATTCACGCGAACAAAAAAGTTGACTTGCCTTTTCGTTCGAGCTGCGTCTTTTTTTCTTCTTTTTTTCTTTTTTTTTTTGAATGTGAGGCGTTTCATAACGCGAACATAAATATAGCATGTTCGAGCCCGTTGCTCGTTCTTACTTAAATAAACACGAGACGTTTGACCGTAGATAGATGACACACGAATATTTTACCGTCTTAATGTTGACGCTGTTTATTGACCATGTTTTGCGCAAGCTCGTAGAGTGTAATGTGTTAATTGCACAGAAGCAATTGAAATAAAATTTCGAAACTAGCCGAACTAGTTGATCGAATCCGGTTGAATTCGATCGGATTCAATCGCAACGGAAGGAAATCTTTCGATCCAAATCTTTCGTTTCGCCCGTTCGCCCATTGATCCGCCATATTGGATCGATACTTATCGAATTGTTTATTGAATGTTAAACGTTCGTATTCGGAGTTTTCAGCGCGAGATTCCTGTTCCGTTACGTGTCGTAAAGATCGTGCTTCAAAATTCTTGCCGTCAAAAACGCGAGGATACGCGAATTTTACGAGATACGATTCCGATCGCATTTTCATCCGTGGGATATTCGGTGCCAAAAATAACACCAGCTAAGCGTCACTCTGGGCTTTTTGACGTGTTTGTTTCCTCCTCTGGATAAATCCCAAACGTCGTGACAGTGGCATTTCTGTTAGGGATAAATCGATCGAACGATTAACCTGAAATGATCGGACGCGAGCACGATCGTGATGTGGAGCAAACAGACGAGGTTGTAGCGTCGAAGGATTTTCTCTTAGGTTACGACACCCTTTCTCGGTGCCATACTTACACGATGTAACTGACATCGACGTCGCAACCTTGTTTCACATCTCGATGAAACGAATTTGAAGTGATTGTTAATTACTTGTGCTTTTTAACATTAGTTAAAGATATTTGTGTAAATTAAATTAATGTAATTAAATGAAAGATATTTATGTAAATGAAATAATTAAAGATAGTTTAGGTAAATTTATAGTTTTATGAATGCAACTAAAAGAGTAAGATCTACAGGCAGAGATTTATAAACTAAATATTACGATTGTATTTCGTCCATTCTATATATTCGTGCACTGTTAATTGGGGTTAGGTTTGGGTTAACGAATTACTATAGGATTAACCTTAATCATTACTGATTACGGAACTAACGAATGCTGCAAATCTCGCGATAATTGTCATAATTTTGCTCTAAAATATAACGCGTTAAGCAAAGCCTCATCGATGTTCAGTTTCAGAAATTGAAATTTTGACTGACGAGAAAATTAATATATATCCATTTTTTATCGTGTTTATACAATTGAAAGTGGGTTCGTAAAAATCACACGATTCTTCTGCGATTTCTTTGCACATTTTTTTATATTTTCGCCATTACCGTGCCACATATTTTCGATTATCCGTGAATGCAGAAGATCCGCGATCTATTTGTTGTTAACGAAGAACGTTCGGTCGCGCGGTATCGGGCGAAAAAGAATTTTTTCAAGGGTTCTGGAGAAGCTTTTGGAATTTTTCTCCGGGGGAAAAAAAGACCATGATGTGCATACAGGCAGGATAGGAGTTAACAAGCGCGATAATAGCGCAAGTAGATGTAGCACCGAAGGTCGACGGACACACTTTGTATTTGCAGTTTTATAAAACATGCGATCGAGCTGCGCTCGAGGACGCTCGAGGATGCTCGAGGATGCCCGAGGACGCTCGAGCCACGCAGGCCTCGCTTCCTTCGGTATTAAGCACGTATGCGGTTAATTACGTTTTCAAAGATGATGCTTTCAAGTGAGTCGTCGATGTTCCCGCCTGCATGCATATTCATTTATGCATATACAGCTTGTCGATTTCATCGGTGTCTTACGTGTGTTACGGCCTCATGAACGAAATCGCCTTTGCATCGTCGATGATACGACCAGATATCGAATCCGTTCGCGGGGAAATGGAGAAAAACATTTCGAGCGATGCGTCCGATTCGGCGAATTGAATTCAACGAGATTTCCTTTTAAAATCTTAAGAATCGTCCGATGATTTTACCATGCAAAATATTTCGACGATCGTTCGGTCAATAAGTTAAGATTAAGACAGCAATTGCTGCTGTCTTTAGAGGGCGAACAGGATTGTTTCGAGCAACCTAGCCCGAGCGAGGCTGGCACGCGTTTCTAGAGTCGGGGTCAAAAGTTCACGCGCTCTCTCCGGGTGGCCAAACTAACATTTCCTCCTGATGTCGTCTCTGATTCTGCCGGGAACAGAAATTAAATCAGAGGTAATCATGTGGGGGACAAAAGTTGCCGGATATTCGTACATTTTTTATAACGAAGAGAAAAATCTTCTGCCTTTCTTTTTTCTTTCTCTCTTGTCTCTCCCCATTTCCTCCCCCTTTTCAATTGTCGAGCCACTCGCATCGGCTTTATAAATATCAAGTCGGTCGGCCTATAAATATTGAGAGACTTCTATAAATATCGATTAAAAGTGTGTGCTAAATTATCATGCTTAACGGTCAATGAGATGATTGAATTTTCCTGTAGAAGGGACGTATAGAGTTTAACGATATTGAAAGATTTTGATCGTGATTCTCTGGTCAAAGGGTGATTGTTTTCTTATTCGAAGAGGATGAGATTTTGGAAAGTTTTTTTTTTTTTTGATATTATATTGAACTCTAGTTCTATTCTTTTTTTCTAGTCTTTTTTTTCGAAATTTCCTTCAGATATTCTCTTGACGTTATACATTGTATAGTTCGTAAAACAAAAAAAAAAAAACCATTTACTACAGCCACAAAAGGGACAGATTTTAGAAAACAATGGCCAAACGTTATTTTTTTTAAATTTCCATCTTTTATCCTCGAAATTTCCGTTTGACGGTTTTCACGTGTTCGTCGCGCAAAACGCTTGAGCCATGACATTTTTGAAATGCAATGCGAGCCACTTTCATGAAATGCGTGTAATATTTGAAAAATCCGAGAATTTTCCTATTGAAATTACAATAAGTGCAATAGATAAATTACAATAGATACTTACAAACTTTCAACAAGTATCTTGTAATTTCCATACATATTTTCAGATTGCTATCAAACTTTATCTATATAATTGTGCCTTGTCACAGCACTAACATACAATATAAATACAAATATGAAAGTTTTCCAAATGTATCTTTGTAAAGCTACCTCTCCCAAATACTTTTACTTTAGTCATTATGTGGCAGGTTCTATTTATTATAAAAGGTGGAATCCCCGTATTCTATCAAACTTTATCTATATAATTGTGTCTTGTCACAGCATCAACATACAATATAAATATAAATATGAAAGTTTTCCAAAAGTATCTTTGTAAAGCCACCTCTCCCAAATACTTTTACTTTAGTCATTATATGGCAGGTTCTATTTATTATAAAGGGTGGAACTCCCTCTATCTTATCAAAATTTATCTATATAATTGTGTCTTGTCACAGCACCAACATACAATATAAATATAAATATAAAAGTTTTCCAAATGTAAAGCTACCTCTCCCAAATACCTTTACTTTAGTGATTATGTGAGTCTGTTTATTATAAAGGGTGGAACCCCCGGTATATTGTATTCAATCGAGTTTATCGAGGGAGTGGTAACCGAGAGAGAGAATCCTTTTCGCGCGAGATACGTTAGGATATCCTTCGTAGCTAAAGGGCCGCCGCAGGCGAGATCCAATGTTCAAGGTAAACGTATTGTTTCCTTGCAGGGTAATCGCTACTGACCTCGATCGTATCGTCCTCGTTTGCCAGGTTCGATCGTTAATTCCACGTTGGCCGAGCAAACGTTCTAAAAATAATTTATCGACTGGTCCTTGTTCGTGCGTTCGGCTGTTTGCGTTTCTTGTCTTCTTTCTTTCGTTCGTCGAACTTTCGAACGATCGATCATTCGGATAAACGCGGACAAGCGACAGGTTGACGGATATTCGAGATACGTCTGTGTATGTAGTCGGACACGTGAGTTAAAGCGATTCACTTTTGCGAGAGAGAGAGAAAGAGAAAAAAAAGAAAAGAAACGAGGAACGAGAGAAAATATCGAGATATATCGAGGAGGACTCGAGGGTTGCGCAGGGAATTTTCTCAATTTCTGATCCGATTAGTGACTTCGTTGGGATAGGAGGTAGAATTTGCAAAGGATTTGGGAAAGTTTCATTCTTGCTGGCGAAATTCCAACGTCCACCGCTGTGCATATAAAGTGACACCGAAACGATGCACATTGATGCACGGTCCGTGAGGACGTCGTCGAGTTGTTAGACACGAGTGCACTTACAATGTAATAATACACTACGAAACTACCCTAAAATTTTGGATTCTTATAGAGGAGTTGGACTCCTATCGAATATCAAATAGGATAGAAATGCGAGACACCAAAAGTATCGATCTATATGATCTGATCTGAATGATTGCATACGTTGCGAATTTTATGAAAAATTTTAAGACAGAATTAATTAACATATAGGAAAATATATAAAATATTCAAAGGGTGCAGGGTGGGTCGAAAGTTTCTTCTCATCTATTTTTTTTTTTTTTGTTTTTTTTTTTTTTAATGAAACATGAAGATATAAAAAACAAAAATTAAAAAATTAAAAAGGAATATGCAATGAAAAAATTGGATTTATTTTAGTAGGAAGTGATTTTTGGCTCACCCTGTAGAATACAACCTCTACATTAGCCTTATTTCTTCAGTTGTATTAAAATTTTTGTATTAATTTTTTTTTTTTTATAAATTTGTAATCTAATCAATTGCAATCTATCGAGGTGAGTCACTGTCAGTCTTTTTCCGCGTGAATTAGATTTAGGTTAGGGTTGAGTCTTTGAATGTTGTAAGTTTTGTTGACACAGGGACGAGTTCTACTTTTATATGGGTTAAAGGCATCTGTGACGCGATTCAAGTTTATGGCACTGATTCGCGCGGTCGGACGCCAGCCAACAGCGATTTTCCCACACTCTATTAATCACGTGTTCGCACTTATAACGCATCGCTCATGCAAATCGCTAAATGGTAAAAAAGTTTTCTGCTAAAATTTAATTGTGCAATCAAACTGTCTGATATCAGTGACAAAATTTTGGAAACTGTCCATTGAATATCTCTCCTCTTTCTTCTTTTTTAAATCATCAACAATGCACAAAAGCATGTTTACATAGAGTGGGCCAAAAGTCACTTCCTACTAAAATGAATCCGTAATATTTTCATTTTTTAATTTTAATCCTTTTATTTAAACATTTCGACTAAAGTTTAATTTGAAATTAATAAAATTAGCTTTTTCTTATATTTTGATGTTTTATTAAAGTTTTTTTTATATTTAAATTTAATTTAAATTAGCTTTTTCTTATATTTTGATGTTTTATTAAAAAAAAAAAAAAAAGAAGTGGGAACAAATTTCTGGCCCTATATAAAAATTCTACAACGGGAGTAATATGTGACGAGTACGTTTTTGTCGATTCTCCGAGTTCCTGATTTATTTTATAAATAAAGTAGGAATAATTTGAAAAGATAATTTCGTCGTGTGAAATTACTTGACGACTTACTAAACTTTTGCACCTCCGTAAAAGACGATTTATCACGTTTTCTACAGCTACGATCTTCGTTCGTTGTGCATGTTAGACAAAAGATGTGCAAATTAAAGGTAAAAGTGAATAAATCGATTTGATACGACAGTTGGGTCGCTGGGCAGGGGGACGAAAACAACTTTGGCAAAGTTCGATCGCTCGATAGTGTAAATCAACTGCTAATTGCGCGATCTTGCTGTTGCTCAGCCTCGTCGATAACGATCGTCTCGAGGACCAACGTCTCTCGTTTCACTTGGCCAACGTCTCGACGAAATTTTATTAATCGTTCTTCTCTCGCGCAATCGTAGCCGAGAAAACCTGCGAGAATTCCATAAAAGTCACATTTTATCTGTTGTTTCGAACGATACAATTAGCAATTTGTTAATGAAAGTCACGCTTCACCGTGACTTTTCTCGAACCCGGGACAAATCGAACAGGGTTGGAGCATTAGCCGAGATTGAATCGGGGACTCTGTTGGTTTCACCAAGGGGGAATTAATTTCGACTTTAACCGGGTTCGCGGGAATTGTCGCTTTGTTGCTCGCGTCGATGTACGATAACACGGCTAACAATAGGTTCAATGTGTTCACGGACTTGTATGTGGATTTCTCTAGCGTGTACAAATTAACGACGAATCGTAATTGGAAGCATCAGTTCACTCTGTCCTTTTCAGAAGATCACTATAGAGGCGATCTCTGCTTAATCGTAACGAAGGTAAGAGGAATTGTGAAACTCGAATACTCGAATACTCCTCAGAGAGAGAAAGAAAAAATTTTATTGAACCGACCGCGCTCTACGAGCAGCCCGTGTAACAGGAAACAGTGAAAAGAGTCGCGAGATAGAACTGATAGACGTAACAGAACTGATACAGAGATTTCAACGGGAAAGTTTTACGGTTTAACCCCGGTCTTGGAGACGATCCAATCGCTGAAGGCGGCGACCTCTGTGTGAACACCAGGATAGCCTGCTCTGGCGCAGCCGTAGCCCCAGGACACGAGTCCGGCCAAACGTCCGCCGATGGTCATGGGACCGCCGGAATCACCTTGGCAAGCGTCTTTCCCCCCGTTTGGCACCGCGGCGCAAATCTGCCCGGCCGGCAGCCCCCCGTACGATTTGTAGGCGTCGTTGCAGGAGCTCTTCGACACGATCGGGACGTCGACAGATTGGAGAACGTCGCTGGTGCTGCCACCTTCCCGGGTTGCACCCCATCCGGTGATGGTCGCCCTAATTCCCGCGACCGACTCCTCGTTCTGCTTGAATATCTTGATAGGCTGGCGAGTTTTGTCCAGACGGAAGGGAGTTTTAACTCGTAGAACGGCCACGTCATTCTCTGGCACACCGTACATGTTTGTCACGTATTTCTCGTGCACGATTATCTCTTCTACCTTGTGGCTGCTTCCGCCGGAGGATTTAGTCGTTGTCCCGGCTACCACGGTGATCCAGTCGGCTGGATAGGACATGCAGTGACCAGCCGTTACCACCCATTGCTCGGAGATGATGCTACCGCCGCAAAAGCCGAAGCCAAGAGCTTGAAGAAGCACTTGGTGCGGCACTTCTTCGATTTTCACGTCCGTTCCACCCACGATTTGTCCCGTTGGGCTTAGCGGGTTCAAGGCTGGCCTTAAGAACGGATTCGCTGGGGAAATAATAAAGTTTTGTCCTCAGTTCAAGTTGCACATCGAAATCACTGTCACATTTCCTTGGTCACGATTGAAAAAAAAAAAAAAAAATGGGATCTGCTCCGTGTAAAAATATATATTCTATATTTTGATATGACTGAGTATTTTTTTCTTTTTTTTGTAAACACGTGATATATTCTGAAGAATATTCTATACTTTGATATGACTGAGTATTTTTTTTTTTGTAAACACGTGATATATTCTAAAGAATATTCTATACTTTGATATGACTGAGTATTTTTTCTTTTTTTTTTTTTTTTTTTTTTTTTTCGTAAACACGTAATAGTCAGTTTTTAATTTTGGTACAACAAATGCAAAATTAGAAGAATACACGGTACTTTAATATCAAACATAAAAAATTAAATTCTTTAGATTCTTTAACTATATATTAAATCTCTAAAATCTAGATTCTATGTTGAATCCCTAAAGATTGAGGGATTTCCTCAACCAAATATATTTTCAGTTACAATTTGTTCTAGCGTCAAAAAGTGAGTCGATCAAATATTTTGCAGTAAAGTGAATTGTCAAACATTTCAAAATGCAATTTCACAAATAAGCATTGATATTAAAAAGTAAATGAGTAATATCGAGTTACCTGCCGCTACGGCCAACAAGGCGAGCAAACACAGTTGTGTGAACATCTTGCTTTCGAATGAGCTCCAACGTTTGTGTGCCCTTCTCCAAAATTCGTGGTTTATTTATATGAAAATGAACAATAGGCGACGAACATCTCGCACAGATATCGATAACATGGATTTGGAACGTAAAACGAAGAATTCGTAAATCAGTTGATCCGTTAATCTGTTTTCTGTGAATTTAATATGAAATCGATCAACGTATTGTCTCGACTGTAAGCTCTTTTCTTCATTTCCTTATTCGATATTGTTCGCCCACGTAACCGATATACCTCGTTGAATGTAAATATTAAGATAAAGTATGTTCACGTGTACATATTGATCCTCATTCACAAGTATCAGAGCGGGGTTAATCGATCAAAATTTTAAATTCACGCAGGATTGCAAATAAGCCAGCAAAAGTTTGTCAAAACTATTTGCAAGAATTACAGTTAAATGTAATGATAATAAATTATTATAGCCAGACTGAGAGGATATATTTATGCACTTTTATATTTTTATCGACAATCTTTTTATCTATTTCTGTGTGTGTTATGTGCATTTTTCACACTTTTTCACTATATTCGTAAATGCATAAAAATTCGCAGTCTGATAATAATTATGCGTTAACGGTTTTCTAAATTCGAAAAATTTCCATAGAAAAGACTTGAGGTGAATTATATAAAAATAAATTCCAAGAAATCTGCTCAAGATCTAAATCTATAGTTTGAAATTGTTTATAATACATATGGAACTACTGTTAATTCTATAGTAATAGAAATGACACTACAAGGATGACAGAAAAACGTGACTGATATAAATTTGGGAAAAACATGACTTTAATATATTCAATTCATGAGATTATGATTACAATATTAAACACTAGAAATACATAGAAGAGCATAACAACATAGCAGTTTTGTTGATTTTTTATTTCTCAAGCGTAAAGTCTTCCAAAAACACATAAGTTTTTCGTAAATTACCAAAAATGTATCTTCATTTTTAAAAAGTGTATTATAGTATAAAATTAATCTAACAACCAAATAAGAATGAAATAAAAATTATATTAGAGTTTAGAAAATCATTCCGCAAATTATTGATCTTTTTCGCGTTGGCAGTATTAAAATTCTAACAGTTTTACTGATTCGTAATACGAATTGATAGCGATAGTGATTGTAAGATGTTCATTAATCTTATCGTAGATCGTCGTCACGGTCGATCGTAACTTGATTTTTTATTGTTTTTATTCTTCAGAAGCAAGCTTATTTTCCTTGGAAACGAACTTCTAAGAAAATAAAATGTTAAAAAGTTCCGCCGAAAACACACACGCAATAATATATTCGTAATACAATTCGCAAATATTTTTACGCTGAATATCCAAATCTATCTATTCAGCTCGAATAAAACTAGTCAGCCACAAAAACAAAACGTACTACAATATTTTACAATCTCGATTTGGAGGGTTAACGAAACGCAGGGTTACTATTAATTTATAGAAACACAGGAAGTCTCGAGGAAATGAGAGAAGACAAGCTTAACTCTGTTCCATTTATTCCCAAATTAGTTTACATATCTACACGTGGCTCTGTTTCATAGAGCCGCGATCAGATTCGCTTTCATCGTCAATGCAATCGGTACTTTCTCTCAATAGGCGAGGAAATTAGACTTTGCTGTGGCGTTTGATCCATTTACGGTAGTAAGCGACGTCGGTGTAAACCCCTGGATAATGCGGTGTCCCGCACCCTTTCCCCCAAGAGACGATCCCTACGAGTTTGCCACCGACGACCAACGGACCACCTGAGTCACCCTGGCACGAGTCTTTGCCCCCCTTCTCAACTCCCGCGCAAATTTCCCCCTTAGGTAACCCACCGTGGTCGTGGTAAGATTTCTTGCACGAGCCTGTCGAGACCATGGGAACCGTAACCTTGTGGAGAGTTTCCGGGTGGCCGGTTTTCGTGGTACCCCAACCGGTGACCAGCGCGTGTTTGCCGTTGAGGGACGAGGATTTTCCATTAAACAATGGCACCGGTTTCCTCGATTTGTCGAGCTTGAACGAGCCCTTGATACGAAGCAGCGCGATGTCGTTCTTAGGCACGCCATTGGTCCTCGAGTAGGATTTGTGCCTGATCACTTTCTTCACTTGATGCAGCGAACCACCGCTGTGGACGGTGGTCGAACCTGCGCGTATCCGGTATTTGTTGGCGTTTGCGGGTGTGGCGCAGTGTCCAGCTGTTAGGACCCAGTACTTAGAGATTATGCTACCACCGCAGAAGTGGCGGCCGTTCTCTTGCATGCTCACTTGATACGGTGCTGCGTAGATGGTGGTTGCTTCCCCGCCTATGATGCGACCGTCCATTCGCTCGATCTCGTAGTCCACCGTCCCGTTTGCGTTCCCCGTCTCGTTTATAATTGGCTCGTCTTCGCCTTCGTCTTCGTCTCCGTCTTCGTCTTCGTCTTCGTCTTCGTCTTCGTTTTCATCTTCGTCTTCGTCTCCATCTTCGTCTCCATTTCCGTCTTCGTTTTCGTCTTCGTCCGAAAGACTAGTCTCTGTCTCGTTTATGACGTCCTCTGTCTGGTTTACCAAGTCCTCCGACTGGTTTATGGGGCTCCCTGAAACACGAGTTTATTTTATTTCAGTACAGTTTGAAATTCCTTGCTTTCCGTCGTAAAATTTTCTCTTATGTCGTGGGAATCTCACCTCCGTGATTTTTTATACAGTTAATCGAAACGCGAAAGTATAATATATTTTGTACGCTCTCGTGTTCGATTAACTTTGCAAAAAGTTACGAAGGAAGAATCTCTTTGTCCATTTAGAATAGTTTCTTGCTGCTTCTATTTTAAATAGTCCATTTTATTTTCTATTTTAATCTAAACCTAAATAAAAATATACTTATATACGTAATTTTTATAATAGTGAAGAAGCTATAATAAAAATCAAGAAAAGTATATAGAGTTTAAGACTAGTTCAGAACACAGCAATAAAATCAATTTTGTGGTATTATTTTGCCAAACATTTTTTTAATGACGCCTCTTAAATTAATTTAAAATAAAACGTCTTATTCGAAATATTTTTGGTATCGTGTACTAAATAATAATATATAGTATTTTATATACTAAATAATAATAAATAATAACAATTTATTATATGAATTATTATTGTACTTAGAATACTAGTTATATAAATTATATAATACCATACAATAATGCTAATAAGTAATAATAAGTAATATTCATTTCAACGTTGATAACAAATTTCACAGCGTCTTCTTACCGAATTGAGTTGTCTGAGTTATCTTAAGTGAGTTACATGAGTTATCTTAATTGAGTTAATCTGAGTTATCTTAACAAACAGTCGGAAAAAATAATCGTCTCGCTGCTTATTAAGATGTCAATACATGACTTTGCAAACAATTCATTTGTTTTATAATGAAAATTCCAAATGGCTTAACCTCTTGCGCTGGAATGACATGCCACGCACGTCGAGAATTTTTTGTTGCAAAATTGTAACATGTTCTCAGTTTTAACTATATTTAAGTAAAGACAACATAGGCAAAACAAATAATAAATTTATTACACCTCAATAATTTCTATCCAGCGATATCATACCGACGAGTTCAAAAAAGAAAGCGACGAATTATTGTGTACGGTTTGGTCACTCGTTATGGTCCGCAATCAGTTGCCCAGCGCAAGTGGTTAAAAGTTCACTGTTGAGCGTGTACGCCCCCACGAAAGAACGTGTTAACAAACATAGTAACCTAGCAAATCTTCACCAAATAAAATAAATCGTATCAATACGACACGTAGGGAGCGACATTTTTCACCGGATGCAACAAGCATTTTCACAGGAATATTTATTGAAAAACTTACCAGCCGCGAAAGCGACGAGAGCGAGAAGGAAGATGAATTTAAACATCTTGAAAGTTAATTTCACTTTCGTCAGTGGACGACACACTGTGATTGCGTGATCTATCTGTCTGTTTTTATAGTAAAGATCTATTGTTGTTAATAAAAATATCGTGAAATCAATCTGAGATAGTCCCCTCGACACGATGAGCTTATCGCGAATTAACTTTTTCCCGCCCGATATTAGCATTAGGTTTTGCGTTGCAGAGGAGATAAAGAGACGCGTACTTAAACTATTTATCGTTGAGGTTTAATCTAGTTTTTCTTTCTTTTCTTTTTTCTGAGAGAGAGAGAGAGAGCTATCGATCAGTTTCGACGGTGAGGCCGCTCAATTATTTATTATGTGTCGTCTCAGTCTTTTCGTTTCGATTCCGATTCCTCCCTTCGCTTCTCCGTTCGTTTTCAATCCGTCGAAATCTGAAGATCTTGCCAGTATTCGCTCAAGTGGGGATAAAAATTATCTACCTTTATTTATGCATTTATTTCGACTCGAGTAATCTTAACTTTTTCACGATCGTTCCTGATCTCGATTATGCTTTTAATTAATTTTTTTTAATTAATCTCTCGTGTCTCTTTTTAATCGACAACATCGCGGAAGAAAAAGTTGCGCGTATGTGACAAAAGTTCTTTTGCATTCGCATTGACAGTGACGCAAAAAAAAAAAAAAAAGAAAAGAAAAGACGTAATTTAAAACAGAGAAAAACGGAAGTTTAAGGTCCGACAGATTTGATCGACGCGTAAAGTTTCACAAGTCGAGAAATTATATACGTTCCTTGTTCGTTTCTCCTCTGCATCAGCTTCGAACCTCTCCCTTCTACGCAAGTATCGTACAATGTTGATGAATATGGAGGGGGTCGATATAGTTCAATCGATAGTGGGGAATTGGAACGTGCGGAGAAGGAGTAACTCTTTCGAGGCGTCTTTAATATAATATATCGTATACATGGAGTATTCGTTGAACGAAAATCAAGCGAATTTAATATTTCATCTTCCTGGTACTACTGCGTTCGTTTCTGATACTTCGAACGATGTACGGCCGGATATATACAGGGTGATTCACAGAGTGCACACCTGAAATAACTTTTAAATTACGTCTAGTCTAATGAAAAATTGTTTAATCAACCAAAGTTAGGTATGATTCTAAGAGAGGCAAAATATGGCGTGTCAATTCTCTGTGAGTTTCAACATTTCCAGAGTTACCCTTACTTTTTT